ATATAGAAATAATAAAATGCCGCGCTTGTGTGCTTTCGTAGCAAAGGTTTATTTGTGACTAACTTACTTAGAGGTGGTACCTATCAGCTAGATATGATACACACGTTTATCGATATATCGTGTCGCATTGTAACAGATGATATTCATTATCACTTTGGCCCCCGCAGAATGTTCAGGCATGAACATATGAGTATACGAAGATCGTATACATGCCTCCGACGCACTCAACGACTAACAGGTAGTGCGCTGGGAAAAGATGAGGGTCACATGTACGGACTCTATAAATAGATAAATGGACACCAACCCTTGCAACCCTAGAGTCAGATTATGTAAGAGAAGAACGCTGAGCCTTATAACCTCAGCGATAGGATAAGAATAGCTAATAGACCCACGCGGAGCCTTACAATCTCAGCGATAAGATAAAAATATGTAATAGACCAATGCTGAGTCTTACACACTCAGCAATAGACGCACTAGATTTATACGCAACTAAACACCATCAAAGTCAAGTGTATTCGCTCACCCATAGTCAATTTCAAGTACATCTCCGCAAAAGATCATGGTCAGATTGCTGACAATGACCGCTCCTAGCAGCGATCCAAATGGATCCGGAGATCTCCTAAAAGGAACGCTTGCGGCCGACCCGAGCTAAATATATGTTTTATATGAATATCCAATTTATTCAGACGTTAGTAATATGAATTTGGTACTATCAAGTGTGATTTTTAACAAGGACCACAGGGGCCGCAAGGAACTTGAGGACCACACGGCCCAACTGGTCCGCAATGCGTATTCCATGGCGTTGGTGCGCAAGGATAACAAGGACCACACTCAGGTGATTCGTAGGGGCATGGTGGCGAACAAGGACCACACGGTCCAGAGGGACCACACGGTGCATTTCCCAATGGACCACAACCCGTCCCACACGGGCCACAAGGTGCGGGTACAAAAGGACCGGAAGGCATTGTCATGCCACATGGTCCACAATTTGGCACAGCACAAGTTCCTCCACAGGGTCCACATGGTCCAAAACGTCCTGGTCCACATGGACCACAACGCCCTGGTCCACACGGACCACCACGTCCTGGTCCACAAGGTCCACAGCGAGTTTCACACACTGGATACTGATTAGTAGAAAAGCAGGGAAGAGGGCAACAAGCTCCAGCTGGCGCACACGGTCCTATAGGACACGGAGGACAAGCGGCACTCGGCTTATAATTTATTGGTCCATTTGGGTAGCAACAGTATTCACGTGGTGGTGGTATGTCAATAGTTTGTGGTTTTGGCTGACACAGTATGGACTGGCACACTTCTCTAGGCTCGCAAACACGCTTCGGATAGCAGACTACATAGGGATCAGGAATCATAGATGGGTAATATATGACACGCGGTTCGCGAACCATTTGTGACACCCAAATAAGCTTTGGAACTTTTATAACTCGAGTCGCGTCCACAACTTTTGGCACAGTAATTTGACGACAACGATTCACAACCATAGGCTCCGGCACAATCTTTTCAGTAAATACTACTCGTTTCTTACATATAAGCCTTGGCGGTTGCTGAACAGTTATGCATTTAGGAAATGGCGGTGGGATACGTGGTGCACACTGCGGCAGGGCTTCCAATTGCGCAGCATTATAACATTTTGGCGAGCATTCAAATGGTCCACAACATGGATCACAAGGGCTGCACGGGCCACAAGGAGAACACATTATGAATTAAAACAGAACAAAAATTTATTGATTTCGATAAAAAAAATAAATATATTTTGTTTTTAGAATTTTGATGCTGAGTTGAATTGAAAATAAACTAGTGAGTATCATACCTCATAATGACAAGGATATCTGACATTCCTGTATCAAAGCCTAGTCAGTTTGTACTACTTATACTTATTCACAAAAGGCAATTAAGTATATAGGTGTCTATACCCTAAACCCATTTTCAATGGGAAATCAGGGTATAATGGTTTTGTTGAAATGTATGTAACAGGCAGAAGGAGGCGTGGCAGACGCCACAAAGAGTATATAATCTTGATCAGGGTGACGAGCTGAGTTGATTTAGCCCTGTCTGTCTGTCTGACCGTCTGTCCGTCCGCCCGTATGCTTGAATGCGTCGATTTCAGAAGATATAAGAGCTAGAGACTTGAAATTTGTTTACCTAGGTCCGTGTATACCACGTGGATATCGAGTTTTGCTTTAAAAATCGATAACTTGCCCCGTTATTTTGTTATCGATTAAAAACGATTATCGAAAACGAGTATTAAATTTATATCTACTACATCTTTAAAGCTAGTGTTGCCAAATTTTAGATGTAGATTTATGTACTTTATGGAATTTCGATTCTTGTAAAAATTTTCCTCCACTTCTATATTCACCCCTGACCATCACATTTGCAAAAGGCGTATTTCAAGTACTAGATACTTTTGCTTTGACAAACTCATTCATATCCATGTTATAATCATAATTTGGAAGTTACATGATGATAGTCCAACCACAATAAGAGTTATTAAACAATTAAATTTGCATAGTAAGCCACCACTGCAGCCAATGCGTGTTTATGCGTGCATGCGTATTTCTGTGTGTGTGCATCTGCATGTGCGAATAATTATTGAAATATAAGTTGCTCGAATGGTTCAGGGGATCTCATAGTCGAGCAGTGTCGACTAGAGCTTTCTTACTTCTTTAATCTTTGCCTTTGCAATAGTTCTTTTCTATTTTCTACGTAGAAATTATTTTTTCTACTTTGTTGCCTGGCTATGACTTTCAGAACTTTTCTGTTCATGTCAATCAGGTCGGATATGTTTATCCTTGACAAGGCAAGACAAGAAGACCAGAAAAAGCTGCCAGACTTAGCAAAGTTGGTTAGAGAGTTCTCTTGAAATCGTACCGGGTTCGCCTCATGGAAGACGAACGTATCACGTATAATGAGCTTATATGAAGGTAAGGAAGATACACAGGCCTATTATCTCATAACGCTAGCGATTCGGAACAAGGTTATCGGTGAAGCTGATGTAGTCCTGGAA